GCTCCCTCGGCTCCCCTCCTCACTTCCCCCCTGCCTCCTCTCTCCTTGCCCCATCCTCCCAACAGCACTCAGAGAAAGTTCTGGCACCAGGTCCCCCCCCCCGTTGGGTTCCAAACCTTTGTTCTTCCTCCTCCTCTCCTGTTCTGCCTATCCTGCCTTCCACTCAACTAGCAGCAATGGTGTGAGCCAGCGACTCCTGGACGCCATGGCCACGTGGGAAAGCAGCGCCCACTGAGGCTGGTGCACTCACCTGAGACGGTTCCACCGCCAGGAGGTGGCTGAGCCAGGATGACTTAAACCCTAGGAGCCCACCACCACAAGGGGGCCAGTGGAGAACACAGCATGAGACAGCACATTGTGATTGTGTGCCTTCTGCTAGGCTCTGACTCACTGTGACTTGGGCTGTCAGGATGGGTCAGAGGAGAACTGTCCCTAGAGTTCCCAAGGCTGTAAATCTTTATGGGAGCAAATGATCAGGAGCTGCAGGCGGGGTGGGGGTGGGGTTGAACTGGTGGCAATGGAGTGCTTTAACCCGTGCGTCACCACACATCGTATTATATACCACTTTGAAAACCAAGCTCACCGACACCAACCTGATGCCGACTCATAGCGACCCTACCGAACACAGAGGCCCTGCGGGCTCTGAGATTGTCACTCTTTATGGGCGTAGAAAGCCTCCTCTTTCTCCCCTGGAGTGGCCGGTGGTTTCAAACTGCTGACTTTGTGGTTAGCAGCCCAGCTTGTAACCACTATGCCACCGGGGCTCCTACTCACCGATTAGAATTCCATTAGAATCTGTGGTAATATAGTATTAATGACATCATCTAGGATCATATCATAGACATGCCGATATATCATATATGATATATATATGTCATATATATCATATATTATAAGGAGCCCTTCCTGGTGGCAGTGTCAAGGTTACCTGTTGGGCTGCTAACCACAAGGGTGGCAGTGCAAAGCCAACAGCCGCTCCTTGGGAGAAAGAGGAGGCTTTTTGCTCTTGTAAAGCGTGACAGTCTACCCTGTCCTAAACGGTCGCTCTGAGTCAGAATTGACCCGAGGGCAGTGAGTGCCCTCTATAGTACAATACAGAGCCGGTGCTATCTAGTATATTCTGGTGTATATTATAGAATACAGTATCAGGATGAATTTGTATCTAAAACAGTAAGAATCAGGACCACTACTGTCACAGGAAGACAGCTGGCTGTGAGCGGCAGTGCTCACATGCTTGGCCATCTTCTAAACCCACTTCACCTCAGGGGCAGGGGCAAGGGCAGGGGTTTCCATTTGGCAGAGGGGGGCATTGAATTGGGAGTCACAGTGCACCCTTGTCTGATATGAGAGGGCATGGGCGGGGGCGGCACCCCTGATGTCCTAATATTGATTGTGGTGTTAATTGCACAACTCTTCTTAATATGTTGAATGATTAAATTGTATGATGTGTGAAGTATATACCAATAAAACAATTTTTAAGATGAAAAATAAAGTAACGGTTGGCAGGGTGTGGTTCGGGGGTGTGGCTCAATAAACAGTCGCAATGAGTTAGAATGGCCCTAGGACTGGAATCTTCTCTCCACCACCCCCACTGTCTCTCTGGGTGTTTAAGGGAAGGGCTGGAGAAAGAACCCCAAGGTCCTGCTCCCCCCTTCTTGTGTCATCAACTCATGTCCCACCCCTGGGTTGAGGTGGGGGTCAGCTGGGGTCTCTGGGTGGCTGGGTATAACAGGAAGCCCCCCAGGCTAGGAGACAATGGTAGAGGAAGGGGCTGGTCCAGCTTCGCACAGATGAGCTCGCTGTAGGCTCCAGGAGGGCTGCCCGGCTATTGTGAGGCCAGACAGCTGTCCCCATGCCAGGAAGCACCAGGGAGCGAGGGAGGAGGGTGGGAGGCTGCTGGCTGGCCCTGACCCCCACCAGGGCCAGGCTAGCACTACCATGGATCATTGGTTTCTTCCTGCAGGCTGGACACCTGGGTTCTCCTCAGCCCAGGATACCCAGAGTCCACCCCAAGGGCCCCAAGTGCCAGCCCCGCCCAGCTCCAGCTGGCAACCTCTGGTCCCTGAGCCCCCACCCACCCAGCCCTAGGCTGTAAAGCTTAGGGAGTCAGAAGCACTGATGGGGCCATAGTTATAGTTATAGTTTCCCAGCTCTGCTGAGCAAGCGGCCTAAATATAGAAGCAGGGCTATTTGGGGCCTTAGCCCTGGGGCAGGGGTGACTGCGTGGGCTTCCCTGGCCTGCCTGCAGAGGCCACAGCAGGTCCCAGCCTCTGATGTGGCTCATGGGCGGTAAGGATGCTTGGATGGGAGTGCGTGGAGGGGGTGGGTGTCCGAGGACCGGCACAACATGGGGTGGGGGTGGGGTGCGGGCGGGGGTGGGGGGGGTGGAGAGGCTCTGAGCAGGCCCACGGTTTGGCTGAAGGAGAGGAAGTTTTTGTGCCCGGGGTTGCAGTGCCCCAACTTCCTTGGTGCAAAACCCCACTGTGGTGAAGGAAGGGGTTGAGCTGTTACCCCAATGTTCTCGACTTCTAGGAAACAAAATGTTACAGTGAATCTGAGCCCCAAACAAGCTCCAGTGCCTAGCAACTTCATTTCCCTTTTCTCACCCCGGCTGAGCTCACTGGGGGCCCGGGGCCGGGCCCTAGGGTAGGGGGCAGGGCTATTTTTAAGTGGTTTAAAAGCAACCCTCCTGGCAGCCAGGCAGAAGAACTTCTCTCAGGCAGCCAGCCCTTCAAGCATCCCCACCCCCAACCCCACCCCCAACAATCGCCAGGGTCTTGGGCTGTCAGGAAGGGGAACCCACGGAGGTACCTGTGTCTGAAACAGAAAGTCTTCAACTCCAGGGCCATGAGGAAGCTGGGGGATGGGTACAGAGGCTGGAATACTCTGTGGTTGTTGGTAGTCACTGTTGAGTGCGTACTCGTAGGTGCCCGTTGTCCAGCCGAAGGAAGCGCCGCCCGGTCCTCTGCTAGCCTCCCAATTGTTCCTAGGTTTGAACCCATTGCGGCAGCCACCGTGTCAGTCCATCTCGTCGAAGGTCTTCCTCCTCACTGCCCTTCTCCTCTGCCGAGCATGAGGTCCTC